TTTTCTGCCTTAACTCTACCTTCCTGCAGTACTCGGTTATGCTTCAATTCCCTCAGAAATTGGATTATGTCAGCCTTAAATCTGCTCAACATGGCAGCCTCCACAACCCTTGAGAACTTGATTTTACTACTGGGCAGGCCAATTGATAGTCACTCATAGACCACATCCCACCACTGCTGGTGGCATTTAACCAACTGCCCCCAGCATCTATTCCAGTACCTTTCACTACCCAGGCTGGGGGGCAAGCATCAAGGGTACCTTTTGAAAACATCACCGTGGGCACATCATAGGGTTCCCCAACCTTTTCCTCTCATGCCCAACTTAAGTACATCTTGATGCCCTTTACCTAGTCGTTTGTTGTTTTTGTAAAACAAAAATCACCTGCATTCAGGCTAAAACAGGAGATCAATTTCATCTCTGGGTCAACCCTCAGGCCTTTCTAATCAGTCCCAGTGCTCATGACAACTCCCAATATCACTACCCTGTCCAAAACATGTTGGGTGTAGTGAGAAATCTCCCAACACTCCCTCTGACCCACAGGAACCATTATAAAATAGCCTTTTAACACATTCAGAATCACGGAGATCTTTTTGCACTGTTGAGATCCATTCAGCTCAGAGGCCACACCAACCCTATAAAGAACATCCCACCCTATCGCCATGACCCCACCTAGCCCACATATGCCCAGTCACTACGGACAATTTAGTGTGACCAATCCACCTAACCTGCAAATCTTTGGACTTTGGGAGGAAATCAGTGTACCCAGCAGAAACCCGTGCAAACTCCACTTTAACTGGGCCTTGTCAGACCTTGATGCCACATTTCACTGGTGAGCCCAGGAAGGTGCAAGCCTAAAAAGGACCTGCACACTTGAACAATGTTAAGGGAGCAGAATTCCACCGTTACAGTTCGGATGCTGCTGGGTAATATGTCCAATGAACCTTAGGAAACATTCTCCAACCTGATCTCAGCTTCACACTGGTAATATGTCCCCTTGTCCGGACCTCTTAAAAACCTTGGCCGTCAAGTCCGAGGTAGGACTTGTCAGAAGACCAACGCTTGACGCTACTTTTAATGGAGTTGAAGCAACTTAAAAACAGTGGGCCTGTGCATTAAAAAGTCGTGTTAAATTATTACCTTTCCCCCTTAAAAATGGAATGGGAGATTTTAATAAAGCAAAAGCATTTTGTTTTGGCACACTGCAAGTTCACGTCAGCTTCATTTAGTAATGGTGTATTTTATGCAGACAGCAAAAGTTGCCTCAGATAAACGTACTGTCAACCGTGGACAGAGACCACATGAACAGTCAAAGGGACCAGAGAGGGGGGGAAAGAGAGAGGGAAAGCGAGAGCTGTTGAGACTGCTGCACCCATCTTAAAAGCAGCTATCACAAAAGCTGTCACTTCTGTCCACAGTCAATCATTTAAGCCTTTGAAATATTCACACAACAGTACGTTTATGCTTCACTATCCATTGTCCAGTGCATTGCTTTTGCCTCTATTAAAAAAAAACCCAAAACTGGAACAGAGGGGCAAGAAACTTAAGCAGTTCAGTCGAAAGTAGAAACAAGCTTTATTTGCTCAATTTCATCTGGTGACTTTAGAATTATTGAATCCCTACACTACGGAAAGAGGCCATTCAGCCCATCAAGTCTGCACCGACCCTCCAAAGGGCAGCCCACCTAAATCTCATCCTATCCCTTTAACCCTACATTTTACCATTGTTCATCCACCTAGACTGCACATCTTTGGACTGTGACAGGAAACCTGAGCACCCGAAAGAAACCCACATAGACACAGGAAGGATGCACAACTCCACACAAAAAGAGACAGTCGCCCAAGGCTGGAATAAAACCTGGGTGCCTGGCACTGTGAGGCAGCAGCGCTAACCGAGTCACCATGCCGACCTTAAATGGGCTGCATAGATTTGACGGTCAGAGTGGAATGGAAGAACTTCAATTGGGACTATTTCTCTCATTCTGTACAAATTACCCACCCCCTTGGGTAGGTCAGTTTTTTTTTTTAAAATAAAAGGTGTTCTTATAAACCTTTTTGCTTTAAAAACATATGCATCAAATAAATGTTTAAACCCCTAGGTATTTTGTGAAGAAGTTGAACCTTTGCAGATACTCAGAGTCTAAATTATTGTTAGTGACTAAGTAACAAAAACCACTTGCCATGATTTCAAAAAATAATCTATTATAATTTCACAAGTACGAGTCAGTCCTTCTTAATACAAAATCCAACAGCATAGGGGTCAGTTTTAAAAGAAGCTGAATGGACAATCTGTTAGATTACCAGCCATCCTGTACGTAAATGGCGTTGTACATTGCTGTATCACATTAGCTCAGAGATTGTTGAGACAAACTGAAAAAAGCAACACATTCTATGCAGATCAATGTTCAAAACAGACAGTTCAAGGAAGTAAAGCAAAATGATCAGGTGTTAGATATTTAAAGAAGATTGTTACAACCAGGCGAGGAAGGATGAATCAGTTCCCCATTTTCTAACTCCCTAGCTAGATTGCAACAAAGATTTTCAATGCATTTTACCACGTAGCTAGATCACATATCAATTTAACCACAATATTGTCTAAACTAAGGAGCCAAGCACAAGGCCTTCTTGAATAAAACTGGAATGTCATTGCCTAACCTTGGGAAAAAGAATAAAATGTAACCTTAAACACACACAGGTTAAAAAGCTTAAAAAGCTAAGAATATCTGGTGCAAAAAAAAGATCAGGAATAAGCAGTTTGAAGAGTCTTCAAGGTGGGAGGTAAAAACCGGAGACCAGAGCTGTTTAATTGATTCCTTGCATCTTCAGCAGAGGTAACATTTGTAGATATTCTTGCATTGTCAGCAAACAAATATTGCTCTAATTTGCAATATCACATGGTAGTGTCCTTTGAGGGACTGAGAAAAACAAGGAGCAAGAGAAAGAAATATGAAATCAAAAGTTATAATCAGAAATGAAATTGAATGGAGTTTTCCTGTGTATGGCTTCATCGACTTTTCAACCCGAATCATCTGCAGGCAACTTTCAACCAAATTCATGAAACCTCTTGAAAGGTGTAGATCAAACAGTCAATGCTGACTTAAGTGATTGTCATCAAAATGACTGAAGCCAGTCTAACTTCTGCTCAGACTGGGTATTGTTTATCAACCGGGTCAACTCGTGGTCAGATAATCACTGCCACCATCTTCAAACTGTGTCTTTTTCCAAACCATTTTAGTCCATAAAACATTATGTCAAGATATAAAAAAGTTAAGCTGTACCAAAGTACGAATACATTGAAAGAAAACTCAATTATAGAATGAACAGGTAGAATCGTGGGTTGAGATTCTGGGGCCATAACTTGAAGAGCTGGAGAGAGACTGACACAATAGACCTCCTGTGGAAGGCACCAAACCACACACCAACAATCAACAAGAGCACAGACTGGCCTTCTCCTGGAAGGAAGAACCTTGGGACAGAGCTCCAGCCCAGTGAAGGATGATCAGAGGCTGGCAGCTTTTGCTCTCAGCAGTGCACCGAACAGACAGTAGCTGCTGACATCAGATCACCAATACCCCCAACCCCCATGGGCCACAGGGCCCACGGGCAAGGCAGGGGAGGACAGGGAGTGGTTCCGGTCTGCCCAGCATGCAGTCTCTCAACCAGGCAGTGATTGGCTTTGATCAACAGATGGAGCGGGTGAAAAGGTTTACCAGACTGATTCTTGGGAATGCGGGGCTGACACATGATGACAGAAAGAATTAAATATAGCTCTTAGGGCTAAAGGGATCAAGGGGAATGAGAAGAAAGTGGGAACAGGGTACGGAGTTGGACGATCAGCCATGATCATGTTGAATGGAGGAACAGGCTCAAGAGGGCCGAATGACCTACTCCTGCTCCTTTTATCTATTTCTACTTCCTGCCCGCACCTGATCTGACCTCACATGGGACTCTCCCACCTGCAGTCTAATTCCTTCCAGAACTGGTGGGCTGTGACCCTGAAGTGCCCCTTAATCACCCACTTAGGGGGATCAATTGACAATGAGTCAGCAAGGTTGACCAAGGGCTCCCCAGCACCCCAAACATAAATCCAGAGGAGAGGGGAGGGGAGGCAAGGCAAAACAGTTTGTGGACATCACCACTCCCATCAAATTAGTGTCCTTCCTACCTCCAAGCCCACCACCCCCAGAAGAAATAAAGTTTCCATCCAACATTCCTCCACTGACCATTTGTAACCTGCATTTAAACTCTGTCAGGATAATTCCCTTCATCACCCACTTTCCCCACTACTCAATTTGTTTCTGCTGATAACCCACCTACTCAGTCATGAAAATTATTTTTAAAAAGCCCTTATACACAATATACACAGTTCATCTCATTAAAATAAAGAAAGGCAAGGCTAACTTACTGGAAAAAAGGCACAGAGCGAGTGAAACTGATTGAACATCCCTCCAACCTACAATAAACAGTCAGTCACTTTTATAGTCGTCACATGCATATTACATTAACTCTTCCCATTGACCTCAGCATTTGCACAGTGTTATACTAAAACAGTAATACCTGTATATTAAATACAAAAGTAACTTTAATATTTCTATATTAAATTCTGCACAAGCCTGGATTAAGGTTATTTATTTGAGCTGTCTATTCAGGTTTGTATATATGTGCCTTAACTCAGGTACAGGAATTTGAAGACCAGGCTGACATCTCTAAAGGAGGGTTAGTGGGCCCAAAACATTAATTCTGTTTTCTCTCCGCAGATGCTGCTCGATCCGAGATTTTCCAGCAATTTCTGTTTTTGATTTTTGACATTTCTGTCTCTACCTGTTTACTAGAATTAACCTGCATGGACTAGGAGGCACGTCTTAAATCAACAGGCTAATGAATGCTTCCATCTAGCACAGACTGCTCAGTGAAGGTGATCAGCAACTGAATCCTTTTAAATCTCTTGTTCCACACAAACAGCACAGCAAAAAGGGAGCACAATTGTACACACACATTTCTTACCTTACTCCGGCTGGAATTAGTCCAGGAATGATGCCAGCCACCTTTCAGCAACATAGCTTGGCATATCAGCAGCTTCTCATCAGGAAATCTGGGAAGTTTGATGTCAATATTAACGTTTCTCCTTTGGTTGATGACCTTCCTGGCCTTTGCACCTATGTGGCCCGATGGTAAGGTTCTCGAGCGTGCCCTCGATCCCGTATACACAGATTTCTTCACCTCTCGGTTATTCTTATTGTACCGTCTAAAGAGCAAAGTGGAGCGCTCCTTCTTGTTTCGTTCAAACTCATCCCCCATCCCTTCTTCACCACCATTGCCCGCGTCTTCAAGATAGATGATAGAAGGCTTCAGGGAAAGTCGGGTCATTGGATGACCACCCACAGACCCATCAGTCGTAGTCTTCAACTTGAGTTTTCGCTGGACCCTACTGAATCCAAACTGTGCAACATGCAAGCCTGGGCAACTCTCATTACTGTCATGTACTCTTTCAGCAATGCAGTCTTCCTGCAGCTGCAGTAGAGTTTTTGTTGCACAACTAAAGGGTGTGGATGAATAGTTATGTTCAACATGGCCGATAGAAGTAGCCTGTGAACATGGGCCAGGGCAAAAAACATGGTACTTTTTATTGTCACCATCGGCATAATGCTTTAGGTTCAAAGCACTGCGTGGGCAGCTGTCTTCAATGATCTGACTACACAACGATGGGAGCTGCACAGAAGACCTTTCATGTGCTAAGCCCGTTTCTTTTCCATTGATCGCTCCTCCTAAGAAAGGGGAGAAGCTCTTGGGCTTCCAGCTTATGTCTCCTTCTGTTTGATACAATTTATCGCATTCCTTCATGGACTGATGAGAAGACGGACTGGAGTCACAACTTCTCTGGCTAGACTGGTCACTGCTTACATTGTAACACCCTGCTTTTGAGCCTGAAGTCCCCATGTCATGATCCTCAAACACACTTCCACGTTGAGCATTGTATTTCGCAGTCAGTTGTCCTACAGACATCACTGGCAGTGTGCCCTGCAGCTCCAAAGGAGGGTCTGAAGGACCCTGAATGACTGACATCGGATCTACATCCAGCATTCTTTCATCGACAACATGCCTTATTTTAACATCACAGCCTGAATTGCTCAGCCTATTTTCATCTTCAGCTGACTGGGCAGATATCATCTTTCCTGGTGCGACAGTCACAAACACAGAAGCAGCTATTTCTTCAGAAGTAATTTTGAAACAGCAACACTCAATATGCTTTTGGTTCTTTTCTTTGATTGTCATAGCATGGCCTGAAGAGAGAGACCAATGTCTGAAAACTTCCTTGCTGAAGCTCTACGAATAATCAGCAGGCTCAATTCTTAGTGAGCGTTTCTCCTCACAGATGTCTTATTTATAGACAGGAAAACTTTACCAGCTGATAAAGCCTAGAGAATAATGACGTTTAAATTGAGCAGCTGGGCTCTCAAATATTATCCGATAGAAGGAGTGTGCTGCTCAATACATTAGGGAGCCTCGACTTTGGCAGCTCTATGAATTCATCTTTATGATGAATGCTGCAAATAACTTGGTGAAAAGAAACTATTTTGTTATCACGTGGAATTAGAAGAGGGTTTATCTGAGCAGTTTCCAAATTCAGATCATGTTTCTCTGCAAAACAAGAGGAGAAATGAATTAAGAGTTTCAGTACATTACCTCAGAAAGGTTTACACAATTCAAAATAACAATGGGAAAGTGTAACAAGGAGTAAACGAGAACATCCTGGGACAAAAGGGGAACGTGGACACAAATTATGCCGTCCGGTGAATTTAAATTTGATCACATTTTGCATTCAACATCAAGTACGAATCAAATGTAAAATCTCCTCTGAATCGTTGCATTGCAGAATGCTGGATTGCATTTTTTTTTTAAAAATAGGAGTCACTTGAAATAATTATTATTTCATGTACCATATACAACAGAATGCAAGTTAAATGCTTGTTTGAGATCAATTTTTCAGCAAAAATGTTAAAGGCGGTTTTTTTTGAGAGCGAGTAATCTTCAAGGGGTTTACACGTGTGTTTTATTTAGGCCCACAGAGTAACATGCATATGGATTAGTTGTCGACTTGTGCCCATTGATTGGCCAGTTGCCACTGTCCTGTTGCTATGACATGGTGGTACATACCCCGAGAAGCTCTGCTTTGTCCCAGTCAGACAGACTGCGCTGTTTAGCTCCAAGCTGTGGTTCAGCAAAAGGGGTGATTAGCAGATTGCTCCATTTAGTGATCTTTGCAAAGTGCTGGATTTGGGCTGTCTGCTACGGACATGGTTTCTTCACTCACTCATGGGAAGTGGACGACACTCGCTGGCCCAGTATTTATTACCCGCCCCTTGTTGCCCTAAACATGATGGTGGTGAGCTGCTTTCCTCAACCATTGCAGCCCATTTCTTGCAGGTAGACCCACGGTGCTATTAGGGAGGCAATGCCAGAATTTTGATTCAGCAAGACTAAAAAAGTACAGTGATATAACTTGAAGTCAGGATGGTGAATGGTTGAGGAAAACTGCAGGTGATAGGATTCCTGTGTATCTGCTTCAAGATGGCAGGGGTTGTGGGTTTGGAAGGTCCTGTCTAAGGAACTTTGGTGAATTTCTGCAGCGCATTTTGAGGATGGTATACAATGCTCCAACGAAACATCAGTGATGGAGGGAGTGGATGTAGTGCCAATCCAGCAGGCTGCTTTGTCCTGGATGGTGTCAAGCTTCTTTAGTGTTGTTAGAGCTGTACCCATCCAGGCAAGTGGGCAGTATTCCGTCACACTCCTGACTTGTGCCTTGTTGATGGTGGACAGGATTTGGTGAATCAGGAGGTGAGTTACTCTTTGCAGGATTCCTAGCCTCTGACCTGCTTTTATAACCATATGTATACTCTTCTGGAGTACTGTGTGCAGTTCTGGTCACCCTGTTATAGGAAGGATATTATTAAACTGGAGAGGGTTCAGAAAAGATTTACCTGGATATTGCCAGGAATAGGGTTTGAGATATAAAAAAAAAATAGACTGAAAAGGCTGGGATCTTTTTTTCCATTGGACCATAGCGGGTTAAGAAGTGACCTTATTGAGGTTTATAAAATCATGAAGGGCATAGGTAAGGTGAATGACAAGGGTCTTTTGCCAAGGGCAGGTGAGTTCAAAACTACTTTTTAAGGTGAGAGGAGAAAGATTTAAAAAAGGGGCCAGAGGGGTGATTTTCAACCCCTCCCCTCCAGTGAGTGTGGAATGAACTGCTAGAGAAAATGGTGGATGCAGGTACAGTTACAGCATTTAAAAGACATTTGGATAAGTTGATGAATAGGAAAGGTTTGAAGGGATATGGCCAAACATAGGCAGGTGGGACTAGTTTAGTTTCAGAACATGGTTGGAATGGACTGGTTGGACCGAAGGGTCTGTTTCCAAGCTGTATGATTCTATGACCCTATATGGCTAGTCCAGATAGTGGGGTTTCTATTCAAGCAGCTCCTGTGGGACAAACAGATCAACATCTTGACTCAACATGGCTTTCCTGAACAGCATCTCAACTTGTCATCCCTTCTCCGATAAGGGAGGGAAGAGGAGTGGGAAAAGGAGAGCAGAGCTTTCACCTCTCAAATACTACCATCAACTTTCACATGAAAGAAGGTCAAAACTGACAAAACTCTTATGCAAAAAACCTTTGCAATTCTTCATGATTGATTTTCACATAGGGTATTTAAAGTGTATAAAAATGATAACCTGTGCAGCTTTAGCAATGCAACTGAAAACATCTATCACAAAAAGATGCATTGTAGGTCAGTTTAGTCCATCATCTGTGTTTGACCTGATTTTAAATAAAGGGTACTGGCTTTAATTATGTACCATCATCCGAGTTTGGTTTCAGTAAGTTAAATAGTTTCTAAGATTAATAGCTTCCTTTTTAAAAAAAAGGTGTCTAATTAGAATCCTTAAAATTAAAACCATTAATTGTGGCTGCAAGAGCTACTTTAAATAAAATAGGTCCATAACAGACACGTGAGCAAAGATTCACCTTATGATTACTTTAGACTAGGAAAATTGTCAGTTGTGAGTAGGATTGGTATCCAGGATGACAAGTTTTTTTTTTTGAAACCTGCATAAAAAAACTTCATTCATGCTATACACATTTGCACTTGAATTTCCTTTTATCTTTTGCCATGTTTTGACAGATTTTGAGTGACCTATAATATAAAAAAAACTTCGCGAAATTTCAGACCCAATTGCTGTATAATTGTTTGGTGGTTAATGACCCAACACTTATTTAACTGAATGGCTATATTTGACGGAACATAAAACAATTGATTCAGAGATTTAAGTTTGTTTTTAAAACCCCCTCCAGTTAATCCTCTTCACTAGACAGTAACCTGCTATGAAAAGCATAAAAACCAGATACTATAGTTCAAACTTCTAAATGAACAGTAAATTTTGCAGTGGCTCAAAGTTCCAAGTTTAGCCCCCTTCCTGTTCCCAGAGGCAGCACATCACCAGAGGCTATTCACCAGGCAGAGATGGGTAGTCAACTTGCATGACCGACAGGCCATTTGTGGCTGGATTGGTAGCACTATCAGGGTCTTCCTGGGAATAAAAGAGTCCCCACCCTATCTCCACCAAAGGTCAGGGCTGGCATATGCCTGTATTTGGCTATCGGGGGCCTAATGAAGCCCCCTCCCCACTGAAGTTGCAGCCATTAGCAGACCATTGCTGGGGCCACAGGCCACACAGTGGTCAGGGTTCACCTCCCAGCATGGGCCATCATTTATTTTGCTCCATTCTAACCGCTTCAGAAGGTATCGCAATGCAGTGACTCCCTTGCATTCTGCTTCCAAATGTAGCAGGGCACATCATTGGCAATGGTGGTGCACCCATCCTCCCACAGTTTCAGATCCTCAATTGGGCTTTCAGTTTCAGGAATTAAGTCATCTTCAAGACTATGGCCAACCCAGCAATGGTCTGTTCATGGAGAACCTCTGGGTGAATCTCCTGTGCGGGCACCCTGTCTGTCAGCTCACTGCATAGACCCAGAAATGATAAAATCCCTCAACTGGCTTCCAAAGTGCTCAAGATTCCAACCATTGGCTCTCATCTTCCACACATTGAGTTTCTTTTCAAAAGCTGCAATGGGAAACGAAACACTTTGGGACATCCCAAGGTGACGAAAAGGTGCTACACTAAACAAGTTACTTTCTTTTTAAGAAAACAAAATGCAATCATTACTTGCATCATAATATTAGTTCTGCACATTTGTTCCTTTATTAGGGAGGCAAAAATATTGGTCCAGATTTTCTCTTCGGGAGAAATCAGGAGTCAGGCTATTTTCAGATGCTAGGATCCCTCTCTTGCCTGTCAATGCTGTTCAGAGAATTATACAATCCCTACAGAGAGTGAAAGCAGGCCATTCTGCCCATCCAAAGAACGTCACACCCACACTTACGCCACTACCACTTCACCCTGCATTTCCCACAGCTAGCCCACCTAGCCTGCACATCCCTGCACACTATGGGCAATTTAGCATGGCCAATTCACCTAACCTGCACATCTTTGGACTGTGGGAGGAAACCGGACCACCCGCAGGAAACCCACGTAGACGCAGGGAGGATGTGCAAACTCCACACAGATAGTAGCCTGAGGCTGAAATCAAACCCAAATCCATTGCGCTGAGAGGCAGCAATCCTAACCACAGAGCCACCCATTGTTAATTATTAGTTTCATAGTAAAGGAGCAGGGATGGATTGGAGTGGACCACCATACTTGAAACAGGCCTTAGGCAGTAACATAGGTGGGTAGATGACAAGGTAAGCATATCAGAAGGCTTCACTTTTCACTAAGACTTCACCCACATTCAAGAACAGAGTGTTAAGCATCCTGACCCTCACTATTATGCCTCACTCCCCAATACAGGTTCCTGAAGCCCTATGCCCATTCACCCCATATTCATTACAAACATAATTAGTTGAAGGTGTTCAAACCTCCTAATGTGTCAAAAAGGATAGCCATTCAAAACCCATTCACCCTGTTAGAAGCTCAATATCCTGTCAAACATACTATTCAAACTCACATGGTAGGGGGGAGAAAAAGTCCTCTGAAATGTTGAAAATAAGCTGTCAAAAATAACTAAGGCAGAAAAATCGTCAGAGGAGGCACGTAAAACAGCATCACGCTAATGAGTGATCTTAATCTTCACGTAGATTGGGAAAAATCAAATGGACATAGGTATCCTTGAGGAAGTATATAGAGTATATTGGGCAAAGTTCCTATAAGAATATCTTGTAGATCCAATCAGGCTAGTTTAGATCTGGCCATGTGCGATAAGGCAATTTAATAACTGACCTCAAAGTTAAAAAAAAAATCCAAGGATACTGACCATTAAATGGTAGAATGTAGCATTCAGTTTGAGTGAGAGGATACTATGTCAGAAACAATTGGGCTAAATTCAATTTAAACAACAAAAAGAACAAACATCACAATAAAAAAGGAACGTGGGCAGAGATTGCTGGGCTGAACTGGGAAATGTTTTTTTAGGAGAAAAGATGGCAAAACAATAGCAAAATCTTTAAAGAAAATAGTTCATCACTCACAAAGATATATTCTTGTGAAGAAGGAGGATTCTAAGGGATAAAACA